CCCCAAAACCCCAAAACCCCAAAACCCCGTGGTTAAATTATCACTTAAATTTGATGAGAATTGGAGATAATCAAATCAATAATACAAGGACAGATAATCTATAAATTAATGCCATTAATTAAAGTATTTCTAATTTTTAAACTTAAGCAAAAGGTTATATTAATTAATAACTTCAACTTTAATTGCTTAAAGATTTCAATACTCTACATAATTGGATATGCACAAAATTCACTTACTTGAAGGTCACTAGTCTGAATATTCTATTCTAGAAAAAGCCTAAAAAAGTGGTTATCCTCGCGATGTTGTAATGCTTTCAATCGGTCTTGCTATTTCGTTGGCATTATTTTCTCAACCCCAAAATTCTGCTGTTAACAATATTCAGTCACTCTGGCTTAGTGAACCCAAGAATACATTTGAATGGACCGAAGAAAAAGCTTTGGATTGGGTAACATTCAGTCAAATGGTTGATATTTAATCATCCCCTATTGGAGAACTCTATGGAATCACTGATTACAGTGTGGGACCAAATAATTATAGACTAGCCTATAAATTTAATCTTGAAAATGGAAAATGGACATCATTTGACAAAGATTTCTAGGTTAAAGATATAAAATTTGACATTTTTGGCAATTATTATCTTCTTGATACCAAGGGAAGACTATATGCAAAGAATTCAAAAACTTAAATCATAACCAACAATATTAAGGATTTTGAGGTTTCATCTAAAGGCTTGATCTATGCAATTTCTTCCGTTGCGTTAGAATCCAATGACTAGACAAAACTTAATACTTGGATTCGGGGAAGTTCAGATAAGGGCAACAAAGAATATTCTTATTAATACATTCTTTATTCTCCAAAGAGATATTCCAAACTTGTTGTTAAAGATGAGACGCCAATCTATGTTGATGAAAATAGCACGATAATTGGTTATGGAAATTAATGTATAAAAGATATCACTGTTGGTATTGATGGTAGTCTTTGGGCCCTGAGTTGCAAATAAAATTCTGAGAAAACTGATTTTTAATTAATTAAATGGGAGCCAGTAAGAGGAAAATGGTATGAAGTTACAAATTCATTTGGAGTAAAAATTGCAGCTTACAATGAAATCTCTATTTCAATCGTTGATTCTTTTGGTAGAATTAAATACTCTACTGATAAAAATCGCTATGAAAATGTTAGATTCTCAGAAGATGGACAAAGACCTGGCCTGTTTGCTGATTCTTTGATATTAAACTCTACAAATATTGGATATGTTCAAGGGCTCATTAAAGAATCACATTACGTTTCTAAAATCTGCTACAGAGCTGCTGCTGTTGATGGGTTTAACGCTGAGAAATTCCACGAAGGTTGCGACTATCAAGGACCTACATTGACAATCTTAAAGTCTCAAAGAGGAAGAGTGGCCGGAGCCTATACATCTGCCTCATTTACTTCTTAAGGTTAATCATCTTGGGATGATAAGGCATTTATATTCTCACCTGACCTCCAAGTTGTATTACAAATCAAATAATTTTCAGAAGCCCATAAAAATGATTGGTACGCTGGTCCTAGCTTTGGAGAAAGCAAGGATCTATATGCTTCTCTTGACAAGAGTTATTACAGCCAAAGTGATGCTGGAAATAGCTACTAACTTCCTCCAGGCTTAACATATGGAAGTTCTGAAGCCTAAGCATATCTCTTCGGAGAGCGATTCTTTGAATTGGAAGAAATTGAAGTCTACAGTCTTATTTGAAAGTCAAAAAAGTGCTTTTGACTTCTCTTTAATATAAGTCAGTTTGATTCTTTAAATCTGCTTAATTCATTTTTTAAAAACATTACTAATACTTAAGATATAAGATTATAAATTTATTCTTAATTTATTTTTACGATTTAATTTCATAGCTCAAACGTAATATAAATCTTATGGGGTTTTGGGGTTTTGGGGTTTTGGGG